AGCAGGATGTAGGGGTTCCAACCTGCCATGATAGCTAGCTAGCTCAGGATCAAGTAGACTGATCATTTATTTGGAGACTGGAAAGAGAGAACTGATCACTTATAGAGTCAGAGTTTTTATAGAACTGAGAGAGACACTTCGACTCATCATGTCTGCACCAATTAAATATTCATCTATTCTAATCCCATGTTTCAGCACTTGGCCCATAGCCTTAAATGCTATGGCGTCCCACTGCTCTCCTAAATAGTTCTTAAATGTCTTCCAGGTTCCCACTTCTACCACCCTTTCAGGCAATGAATTCCAAGTACCCACAACTCTCTGGGCGAAAAGGTTTTCTCTCAAATCCCCTCTAAACCTCTTGCTACTAACATAAAACTGTGCCCCCTGGTTTCTGATCCTTCTAATAAGAGGAAATATTTCTGCCTATCTACCTTGGCTAGGCCACTCATAACTTTGTATACCTCAATCAGATCTGCCCTTAGCCTTCTCTGACCTAAGGAAAATAACGCCAGCCTATCTAGTCTCCCTTCATAGCTGAATCATTGGAGCCCAAGCAACATCCCTCTCTAGTACAATCACATTTTTCCTATAGTGTGGCAACCAGAACTGCACAGAGGTCTCCAGCTGCAGCCTAACTGACATTAGAAACAGTTCCATCATAACCTACTTGCTCTTGTATTCATTGCCTTGACTGATAAAGGCAAGTATCTGATATGTCTTCTTAACCACCTGATCCACCTGTCCTGCTGCTTTCAAAGATCTATGGTCACGTACACTAAGGTCCCGCTGATCCGTTCTATTTCCTAGGGTTCTACCATTCAACATGTGCTTCCTTGCCTTGTTAGTCCTGCCAAATTAGTAACTTCAGGCTTTTCGGGATTAAATTCCATTTGCCACTGATCAACTTATCTATATCATCCTGCAGTCTAGGGATTTCTTCCTTGCTACTTACCACCATCACCAAATTTTGGGTCATCTGCAAACTTACTGATCATTTCTTCTATATTCATAACTAGATTATTAAACACATCTAAACACAGCAAAGGAGCCAGAACCGAAATTGGTGGTATGCATCTGGACAGAGGCTTCCTGTCATAAAATACCCTTCAAACATTACCCACGGCTTCTTGCCGCTAAGCCAATTCCAGATCCAATTTGCTCAATTGTCCTAATTTCCATCAGCTCATAGCTTCTTAACCAGCCTGCCATGCCAGACCTTATCAAAAGCCTCAAAGTTTGTGTAGACTATTTACACTACACTCATCTACAGAAACATAGTGGGCCGAAGGGTCTGTTCCGTGCTGTAACGTTCTACGCATACACCTAGTCACTACCTCGAAAAATTTGGTTAAATTCGTTAGACATAATCTCCTTCTTACAAAGCCATGCTGACTTCCCTTCAGCAATCCTAGTCTCTTGAAGTGGAGATTAATTCTGTTCCACAGAAGTCTTTTCCAATAGTTTCCCTACCACAGATGTTACACCCACTGACTTGTACTTTTGTGTTTCTCCCTAACACCCTCCTTCAATAATGATACCACTTTAGCTGTCTTCCAGTTCTCCATCATTAATGGTGATCTTTCAGGAATCACTGGAGTCAGGGAGGGTGCCAGAGGACTGTAAAATGATTAATGTAACACTCCTGTTTAAGGGAAGCAGAAGACAAGAAACTACAGGCCCACTAGCCTGACCTTGGTTGTTTGTAAGATTTTAGAATCCATTATTAAGGATGAAATTGCAAAGTACTTAGAAGTATATGGTAAAATTGGGCTGAGTCAGCACAGTTTTGTCAAGGGGAAGCCATGCCTGACAAATCTGTTAGAATTCTTTGAGGAGGCAACAAGCAAGTTAGACAAAGCAGAGCCGCCGGACGTGGTTTGTTTTGATTTCTAGAAGGTTTATGTCAAGGTGCTGCATGAAAGGCTGCTAAATAAGATAACAGCATATGGTGTTAGGGGTAAGGTACTGGCATAAAGAGAGGACTGGCAGAAGGCAGAGAGTGGGGATAAAGAGGTCTTTTTCAGGATGACAGCCAGTGACTAGTGGAGTCCTGGAAGGATCCGTGTTGAGACCACAACTATTCACATTGTACATTAATGATTTGCATGAAGGAACTGAGGGCATTGTTGCTATGTTTGCAGATGACACAGATAGCTGGTAGGACAGGAAGTGTAGAGGTAGGGAGGAGGCTGCAGAAGGACTCGAACAGGCTCGGTGAGTGGGCAAAGAAGCAGCACATGGAATACAATGTGGGGAAAATGTGAGGTTATGCACTTTGATAGGAAGAATAGAGGCATAGACTATTTTCTAAATGGGGAAAGGCTTCAGAAATATGAAACACAAAGGGACTCGAGAGTCAGTTCAGGATTCTCTTCAGGTTAACTTGCAGGTTCAGCTGGCAGTTCAGAAGGCAAATGCAACGTTAGCATTTCAGGAGGGCTAGAGTACAATATACTGCTGAGGCCACACGAGGCTGTGGTCAGATTATACCTGGAATATTGTGAGCAGTTTTGGGCCCCGTATCAAATGAAGGATGGGCTGGTGTTGGAGGAGTCCAGAGGATTTTTACAAGAATAATCCCAGGAATGAGGGGCTTGTCATATATGGAGCAGTTGAGGACTCTGGGACTGTACTAGTTGAAGTTTAGAACAATGCAGGGTGATCTGATTGAAACTTACAAAATACTGAGAGGTCTGCATAGAGTTGATGTGGAGAAGATGTTTCCAATAGTGAGGTCTAGAATCTGACGGCACAGCCTCAGAGTGAAGGGACAACCCTTTAGTATTGAGATGAGGAGGAATTTTTTCAGCTTCAGTGGTTAATATGCAGAACTCACTGCCACAGAGCACTGCGGAGGCCAAGTCATTGAATTTATTTAAGACAAAGATAGATAGGTTCTTGATTGACAAGGGGATCAAGGGTTAAGGGGAGAAGGTAGGAGATTGGGGTTGACAAACATAATCAGCCATGACTGAATGGCAGAACAGACCTGATGGGTCGAATGGCTTAATTCTGCTCCCATGTCTTATGGTCTTAATAGGATACACCTTGTTGCAATTCCTCATCAAATGCTGTGATAGGGAATTTTCTTAAATCACCTCTGGAGTTCAACTGTTTTATTTCCATTTGCACCAAGGCTGGATTGAGGTCAGGAACTGGCCCTGGCAAAACCCAAACAGAGTCTCAGTCAGCAGGTTATTCTTGACTAAACGCCACTTGATAGCATTGTCAATATCCCCTTAAATCACTTTGCTCATGACTGAGAGTGAGCTGATGGGGCAGTAATTGGCCTGGTTAGTTTTGTCCTTGTGGACAGGACAAACTTGGACAATTCTCATTTCCAGGTAGATGCCAGCTTTGCAGCCATACCAGTACAGTTTGGCTAGGGACATGCCTAATTATGGAGCCCAAATCTTCAGTATTATTGCCAAAATGTTGCCAGGACCCACAGTCCTTGTGGTATCCAGCGCCTTCAGCTGTTTATTGATATCATGTGGAGTGATTCAAATTGGCTGAAGATTTACATAAAGACCTGTGATTCGGGAGACCTCAGGAGGAGGCTGAGATGGAACATTCACCTCACACATCTGGCTGACGATGTGTGCAAATGCTTTATCTTATCTTTTGCATTGATGTGTTGGGCTCTTCTATTTTTTTGAAGGTAGGGATGTTTGTGGAGCATCCTTCTCCTCTTAGTTGTCTAAATGTCCACCACCATTCATGCCTAGATGTGGGAGGACTGCGGAGCTTATTCCTGAGCTGTTGGTTGTGGGATTACTCAGTTTTACTTATTGTATGCTGCTTATGATATTTGATATACAAGTATAGCTTCATTGAGTTGACATTTCATCCTTAGGTATGCCTGGTGCTGATCTTGGCCACGTACACCTGCACTGTTCATTGAACCAGTGCTGATCCCCTGATTTGACGATAATGATACAGTTAGGGAACATGCCAGACCATGAGGTTACAAACTGCAGTTGAAGATTATTCTGCTACTGATGGCCCACAGCATCGAATGTATGCCCAGGCTTGAGTTGCTAAAGCTGTTTGAAATCTTTCCCGTTTAGCACTGTGGTACTACCACATGTGGTGCAAGGTATCCTCTATTCGAAGGTAGGACTTCATCTCCACAAGGACTGTGCAGTGGTCATTCCTAGCAATATTGTCAAGGAAAGATGCATCTGCGAAAGGTACATTGGTGACAATTAGGCTTGTCCCCCGCCTTGTTAGTTTCCTCACTACCTGTCACAGATCCAGTCTCGCAGCTATGATCTGGAAGACTCAAGCAACTGAGTCAGTAGCGGAGTGGCAGGCAATGAAGCTTCCCACTCTGGGTACATTATGGGCCCTTAGTGAATGAATGAATGAATGATCGAATGATTTATTTACTGTCACTTGCATTTTACAGTCAATAATAGTGAAAAGCTTGAACAGTTGCCATAATCCAGTGCCATTTTGAATAGTTTAAGAATAAAGGATAAATGATATAACTGAAAGAGAATAGTTTAAGAATAAAAGATATAACCGAAAGACAGTCCTGAGCTGCTGAACAATGACACCTGCATCGCCACCCCTCCTCCACCACCTTGCTGATGCCTGCGCTGGACCCATCAACGTAGAAGTCACCACTCTTTAGGAGCCGCCTCTTCACCACTGGGACCGCCTCATGGATGTCGGATACCTTGTTGAACCCACACTCCCCCTGCAACCAGGAATCTCAGGCTCCGCTGCCGCCTTGATAATGCCAGGTTCCTGGCTTCAGGCATACTATGCTGCTGTTGCTACAGTCGCCACCTCACCAGAGCCAGGAGTCCCTGCTCTGGGCATACTGCAACTAGGAGTCCAGGGCTCCGCTGCCAGGCCAGCGTGCTGTCATGTCAAGAGTTCCACTCTGCGATGTCGCCTTTTCGGTGTTGCCAACTTGACAATTCTGCTGCCGCCGCCTCCAATCGTTGGAGGAGGTTGGCAGCCACTGTCAATCCTGAACGCTGGAAGGACATGCCTGCTGCTACTAATTCTGCCACCACCACCTCCAGTCACTGTGAGAAGCTGCCATGCTGCATACGGCCCACTCTAACTGGCACATCGATTCCACCACTAACCCTCCACTAAAGGTTCCAAAGAAAAGAAAAACGAAAGACAAAAATGGAAGAAAAAGAGAAGTAATAAAAATAGACAAAAAAACAAAAGGCAACATATAGGAGCGGATGAGCCCCGGGTAAGAGCCCACATGCAGCAACTACTTCACCATCTTGAATTTTCTTCCACTTGGAGTTCAAGATGGAGAAGTACTTATTTAACAGCAGAGGCTAGTGAAGCAGGTGCCAACAGCAGGAGGTTTTCTTGTGCACAGTTGACCACAAGGCCTCCTTGCAGCCGAAGTCAATGTTGAGGACTCTTCCAAATATGTATTAATATACAGCCATCTCCACTGAGTTTGCCCTGTTGGTAGACCAGAACGTGCCCAGGGACAGTGATGGCACTGTCTGAGACACTAAGTGCTCAGAGGGTATGATTTATTCACCTGATACTTGATCATAAGACCAAAGAAACAAGACCAGGAGTAGGCAGTTCAGTCCCTCAAGCCTCCTCTGCTATTCAGCAGAATCATAGCTGATCTGACTTTCCTCACATCCACTTTCCTGCCCTGTCCCCATAAATCTTGCTTCCCTTAGTGAGTAAGTATCTATCTACCTCAGCCTTAAATACACACAAGGATTCTGCTGCCACAGCACTCTGTGGAAAGGAGTTATGGGGATACAAAGGGATTCTACAAATACATTAAGGACAAAAGGGTAACTAGGGAGAAGATAGGGCCCCTTAAAGATCAACAAGGCCACCTAGGTGTGGCACTACAGGAGATGGGGGAAAATACTAAATGAATATTTTGTATCAGTGTTTACTATGGAGAAGGATATGGAAGCCAGAGAACTTGGGAAAATAAATAGTGAAATATTGAAAAATGTCCATATTACATGGTGGTGGTGCTGGCCGTCTTAAGACGCGTGAAGGTGGATAAATTCCCGGGACCTGATCAGGTGTACCCTAGAACTTTGTGGGAAGCTAGGGAAGCGATTACTGGGACCCTTGCTAAGATATCTGTGTCATCGATAGCCACAGGCAAGGTGCTGGAAGACTGGAGGTTTGCTAAAGTGGCGCCACTATTTAAGAAAGGTGGTGAGGAAAAGCCAGGGAACTATAGACCGGTGAGCCTGACATTGGTGGTGGGAAAGTTGTTGGAGGGAATCCTGAGGGACAAGATTTACATGTATTTGGCAAGACAAGGACGATTAGGGATAGTCAGCATGGCTTTTAGCATGGGAAAGCACGTCACACTAACTTAATTGAGTTTTTTCAAGAAGTAATGAAGAGGAATGACGAAGACAGAGTGGCAGATGTGATCCATATGGACTTCAGTAACGCGTTCTACAAGGTTTTGCATGGTAGACTGGTTGGCAAGGTTCGATCACATGGAATACAGTGAGAGCTAGCTATTTGGATACAGAACTGGCTTGAAGGTAGGAGACAGAGAGAGGTGATGGAAGGTTGCTTTTCACACTAGAGGCCTATGACCAGCAGTGTGCCACAAGGATCAGTGCTGGGTCCACTGCTTTTTGTCACTTATATAAATGATTTGGATGTGAACATAGGAGGCACTGTTACTAAGTTTGCAGATGACTTCAAAATTGGTGGTGTAGTGGACAGCTAAGAAGGTTACTTCAGAGTACAACAGGACCCTGATCAGATGGGCCAATGGGCCAAGGAGTGGTAGATGGAGTTTAATTTAGATAAATGTGAGGTGCTGCACTTTGGAAAGGCAAATCAGGCCCGGACTTATACATTTAATGGTAAGGTCCTGGGGACTGTTGCTGAACAAAGAGAACTTGGAGTGCAGGTTCATAGTTTCTTGAAAGTAGAGTCACAGGTAGACAGGATAGTGAGGGCAGCGTTTGGTATGCTTGCCTTTACTGGTCAGTGCATTAAGTATAGGAGTTGGGAGGTCATGTTGCGGCTGTACAGGACATTGGTTAGGCCACTTTTGAAGTACTGCATTAAATTCTGGTCTCCCTGCTTTAGGAAGGATGTTGTGAAACTTGAAAAGGTTCGGAAAAGATTTACAAGGATGTTGCCAAGGTTGGAGAGTTTGAGCTATGGGGAGAAGCTGAACAGGCTGAATGGTGACCTTATAGAAATTTATAAAATCATCAGGGGCATAGATAGGGTGAACAGACAAAGTCTTTTCCCCAGGGTATTGGAATCCACAACTAGAGGGCATTGGTTTAAGGTGAGAGGCGAAAGATTTAAAAGGGACCTAAGGGTGACGTTTTCACGCAGATGGTGGTGCGTGCATGGAATGAGCTGCCAGTGGTGGAGGCTGGTACAATTACAACATTTGAAAGGGCATCTGGATGGGTACATGAATAGGAAGGGTTTAGAGGGATATGGACCAAATGCTGGCAAATGGGACTAGATTAATTTAGGATATCTGGTTGGCACGGACGTGTTGGACCGAAGGGTTTGTTTCCATGCTGTACAACTCTAGAAACTGAGTTCCAAAGACTTGCAACCCTCAGAGAAGAAATTCCTCCTCATTTCCGTCTTAAATTGGAGCCCTTTATTCTGTGACTATGCCCTCTGGTCCTATACTTGACCACTAGGGGAAACATCTTCTCAAGCCCCTTAAGAATTCTACATGTTTCAACGATATTACCTCTCATTCTTCTAAACTCCAGTGAGTAGAGTCCAACCTATTTAGCCTTTACTCATAAGACAATCCCCCCAAGCCAGGGATTATCCAAGTGACCCCTCACTGAACTGCTTCCAATGAAATAAAACATTTTCTTAACTAAGGGAACCAAAACTGTTCATACTACTCCAGATGCGGTCTCACCAGCACCTTGTCCAGTTACAGTAAGACTTCCCTACTTTTATACTCCAACACCCTTGAAATAAGGGCCAACATTCCATTATCCTTCCCAATTACCTGCTGTACCAATGTGCTTGCTTTCTGTGTTTTACTAGAGTGCTCTGATTTTGGCACCAGCCCCATATGTTTATAAAGAGGGTTTTGCACTGTGGACAGGGGGTTCCTTTGGTCAATGTCAAGTGGTCGATTTGGCTGTTTTTTTTGCTTTCCTTTCTTTTGGCTTTGTTACAGTTTGATATAACCAAGTCAGAGGTCAGTAGATAGCATTAGATAGTATTTCAGAACCAACCCACATATAGTCCAGCCTTTTGTTTTCACTCATGGGATATGAGTGTCCCTGGCAGGTCAGCATTTATTACCCATTCCTGGTTATCCTTGAGAGGATGGTAACGAGTTTCCTTCTTGAATCACTGCAGTCCATGTGCTGTAAGTTGACCAACCCACAGTATCATTAGGGAGGGAATTCCAGGATTTTCACCTGATGACAGTCAAGGAATAGTGATATATTTCCAAGTCAGAATGTTGAGTGGCTTGGAGGGGAACTTTCAGGTGGTGATCCATGTATCTGCTGTCCTTGTCCTTCTAGATGGAATTAGAAGTAGGATTGGAAGGTGCTGTCCGAGGATTTTTGGTGAATTTCCAGAGTGCATCTTGTAGATGATTCACACTTCTGTGACTGAACGTCAGTGGAAGAGGGAGTTGATGCTTGTGGATGTGCTGCCAATCAAGCAGGCTACGCTGTCCTGGATGGTGCCAAGCTTCTTGACTGCTCTTGGAGCTGCACTCATCAATCAAGTGGAAAGTATTCCATCACACTCTAACTTGTCCCTTTTAGATGGTGGGCAGGCTTAGGGGAGTCAGGAGGTGGGTTATTTGCCACAGTATTCCTAGCTCTGACCTGATCTAGTAGCATTGTATTTATACGGCAAGTCTAGTTGAGTTTCTGCCAATGGTAACACCCACAATGTTGATAGTGGGAACTCAGTGATGGTAACACCACTGAATAACAAAGGATAGTGGTTAGATTGTGTCTTATTGGAGACAGTCACTACCTGGCATTTGTATGGCACAAATATTACGTGCCTTAATCAGCCCCAAGCCTGGATATTGTCCAGATTTTACTGCCTTTGAACATGGACTGCTTCAGTATCCGAGGAGTCGTGTATGCTGCTGACAATTGTGGAATCATCGGCAAACATCTCCACCTCTGACCTTATGATTGAGGCATGATCATTGATCAAGCAGCTGAAGGTAGGACACTACTCTGAGGAACTCCTACAGAGATGTCCTGGAGCTGAGATGACTAACGTCTAACAACCACAACCATCTTCCTATGCACCAGATATGACTCCAACCAGCAGAGACTTTGACCTAATAATTTCAGTTTTGCTAGGGCTCCTCGATGTCAAATGCTGTCACTCTCACCTCACCTCTTCCTTCAATTAATGATGCAAGCTTTTAATTTACTTCACTCCAGTACACTTTGCAATTTTACATTTACAAATTGCAGCTTTCACTACAAGTACATTCAGTTGCTAAATAAGTACTTTTGCCCAGGTTTGAACCAAGACTGTAATGAGGTCAGGAGATGAGTGGCCGTGGCAGAACCCAACTGGGTGTTAGTGAACAAGGGTAGGTAAGGACGGTAGACTTTCCTTCAATAAAGGACATCAGTGAATTTAAATTCCACCAGTTTCCATGGTGGAATTTGAACCAATGTCCCCAGTACATTAGATCAGTGACGTTGCCACAATGCTAACATTGATTTTTATTGATCCTTGAACATACTTCCCTAAATGTTTCAAGGTATAGTATTCTAATACAAACTGTGAATAAAATTGGTTCATACCTGCATTGAGAAAGTAAGCTAGTTAAGTTCTGTAGTTTTTCCTGTAGAGAGAAAATCTCTGCTATATATTTCTTCTCCATTTCCTTGCATTGTTGCTCATGAGAAGTCCTCAGATCATTTATTTCTTCTACACGTTGGTTCTCTAACTCAGCCTTCTGTTGGCAAAATTCCAGCTTTAGCTTTTCAATATCTTCAAGCTGAGCTGATTGGACCTGTGACTGCTCCTTAAGATCTAAACAACAGATAGGTAAGAAAAGTGGTTTATTGCATTCCTTCAATTAATGATGCAAGCTTTTAATTTACTTCACTCCAGTACACTTTGCAATTTTACATTTACAAATTGCAGTTTTCACTACAAGTACATTCAGTTGCTAAATAAAGTTACATAGCATACCATTAAGGTCTTGAGAACTAGCACATGGACTTTCTATTTGCATTCGTAAACTAGCATTTTCTTCTTGACTTTGAAATTGCAAATTTACGTAAGTAGTCTGGAAGTCTTCAATCTGCAATTACAAAAAGTGAAACAAGGTTTTCCATTTATTGCACATATACTGACATCATAACTTTAAAATAATTAATTTTAGTTTCTTGATGATTAAATTCTCTCAAAATCTTTCCATACTTAATACACTATTATAATTTAGATGGCACTTTTGACAACCTCAAGTCATCCGAAAATGCCTCTAACATAAGGCCAGATGCAGGAATGCTTGCACTGTGTTCAGCAACTCTTCTGATACCTAAGTAAGCTGTAACTGGTACAGCATAACCTCAACAACATTCAAATTTGAGCTGGTGAATAACTTTCATGCCGTGCAAACGCTAGGCAACGCCCATCTGTGACCAGCATAAATCTAAACATGCTCATTGAGGGTCAAGGGAATGACTATCAATGAATTCTCTCCTGATATATAAATGCAACGGCTAAAAGAACAAGTCATGGCCTGAGAAATTCAACACACTTCCTGACTTCCCAAAACTTGTTTACAGGATGCAAGGAAAAGTCTCTACTTGCCTGAATGAGTAGAACTTCAACAATGTTTAAGAGGATACAATTAAACAGTTTCCCTATTGATCGACATCCCATTTACCAATTTAAATGTTTATTCCCTCCACCATCAGTGCAGAGTGGCATCAGTGTGCATCATCCACAAGATACAATGCAACAAAACAAGGCTCTTTTCACAGCAACCTCAAAACCTGCAACCTCTATCACCTAGAAGAACAAGGGCAGCAGATGGACAGAAGCTCAACAACTTACAAGTTCCATAAGTCACACATCATACCGACATGAATCCATATTGCTGTTCACTTCTTAAAAGCAGTGGGTGAACCTACACCACCATGAGCTTCACTGGTGGTTCACCATTCCCACCTTAAGTGCAATTAAAAATGGCCAATAAATGATGCTCTCACCAGCAATTTTCCCATCCAATGATTGAGTTTAAAAAAAGGAACCAGATATAGGCATGAATTTCATGACCAAACCAATTAGACAACACTTAATATCTACCTAAGAAAAAGCTGCCAACTTACAAAGCTCCACATTTACAATACTAGTTTCTCCATCTCAGGAAGCTGTTTATAAGTAATTATGATTGAGGGTGCCATTATCTAGATAATCAGTTACACTTCAATCAACACAACTTAACATTTTCAATGGTTTAGCAATGACAATAGATTTTTTTTCAATCAACCTGTTCAGAGTTGCTATTACACACTTCTGTAGCAGATGTAACTTGAACCCAGGCTGCAAAAACTTGAAGCTGACCTCAAATTACTGATTTGTTATTGATCTCATCTGCAATTTGTGGAAGAGCAAGCCATCAGTGACAGCAATTTTCAGGTTACTACTTTATATCGCAATGCAGCATGCCATATTTTGTTAACCATTTTACACAGTAAAGACTGAGTGATGACAGTTTCCATCATTATGATAGTAAATTTCAAGTCACGTTTTGTCAAAGTTTCTCATCTTGCACTATTTAGGACAATTTACATGAAATACCAAAAAGGAAAACCACATGTATGCTGTCTGGCAGGGGGAGATGTTGGCATGAGAACTTTAGATTGGTACAGTCACTATCATGAAGAATTGGTAGAGTCATTATCATGAAGAATACACCAGTTAAAGACAGCTTGGCAGTTGGCTGCCAAGTTTTGTTTAAATTTAAATATGGCAAGTTAATTCTGATTGGTCAGGGCACTGCTCCAAGAAATGAATAGAAAATGGTTGTCACTTATTTTATTGTGTTGAAACAGGCACAGTGTATATACACTGTGTTTGTCTGCAAAGAACAGGACTCTGTGTATTAATATATGTAAATTTCGACACATTCAAATGTGTCATAATGTCAGCCAAACGAACAAACCTAAATTGCCAACGCTGGATTACGTGCAAATGTTCTCCAATTGCAGAAACATATCCAATGTTGGACACTGTTGAGTGTTTTGCAAATGCAAGGTAGTGGGATACAATTTGTGCTTGTTGTAAACAGCTTAAGGAGTATAATGTTTGATACCATCTGGTAGTCTTTGGGTTGAACAGCCTAGATATCTAATAAAAACCAAAAAAAACTGCAGATGCTGTAAATCAGGAACAAAAACTGAAGTTGTAGGAAAAGTTCCGAGGAAGGGTCATCGGACCAGAAACATTAAACTCTGATTTTTCTTCATGGATGCTGCCAGACCGGCTGAGCTTTTCCAGCAACTTCTGTTTTTGTGGCCGAGACATCTAGCCAGACTGAAACTCAAATGCCACATTACTCACTTGTGTGATAGGCAGACTGTTTTACTGGCTAGACAGCAGCATCCTCTTAATGGCATTCGCTACTCCTGTTGTTACTGCAAATTAGCAGTGTATGACCATTAGGTTCACTTATTGTTCAAGCTTTTAAAATGCCTTGCTCTTGCAGGGTAATCTGAGGTACTTGTAGGACAAAAGCAACCAATCTTGCGCCTGTTCATAACCTAGATTAACGTACAGAGATAAATGATCTACTTAGGATAGCAAGGATGGCTTGCAAGTACCCTATTTTGGCATCAAGCCTGCATAATGAACAAGTGTCTTGGGGCCTTATTACAAGCTTGTCAATAAAACCACTTCCAAGGTGCATGGAATTATAGGATCAACAGCTGAAGTCAGCTGTCTTACACTGCTATAAGGCAGTAGCAACACGAATGGTACTAGAACGGAGTGCACGCATTTCTTGTTAAGAAAGTCTAACTCAGTAATTTGTACATACTTAATTTAGATTAATTTAGTGTGTAGTTGGCATTAAAAAGAAAACTACAGTTTTAATTCTGTAGTAGCTGGCCTTAAGCAAGACTTTTTAAAACAAAAAGTTGCACTGAAAGAGTAGCTTAACTAAGAACAAGCTGAAATTGTTTCCTTATTAAGTGACTGAGCTCCATGCTATAAGAAGCCATTCAAATGAGGAGAGGGAATAAGAATTTACGAGTGGTAGGGGACAATACAATTAGAGAGCTAGGTACTCTTCTCTGCAGCTGTGAGCAGGAGACCCAAAGGCTGTGGTTGCCATGATGATTCCGACTACATTGACAGCACTAGAAAAAAAGTTCTATTGAAAGATTTTGAACAATTAGGAGCAGTTAGATCCTCCAAGGTTAATATCAGGTCTACTACCTGAGTCACAGGCAAACTGGCCAAGGACAAACAAAGTAGAGGAATTCAATGCATGGCTCAAAGACTAGTGTGGGAGAAATGGGTTTTAATTCATGGGGCATTGACATTAGTACTAGGGTAAAATGTAACTATTCAGTTGAACACGTTTCACATGAAATGAATTGGGAACAGTGTCCTGGCAAGTCAAGTAACTAGGCTGTGGAGCAGGCTTTAAATTAATTGAGTGGAGGAAGGGCTCTGGAGAGGGTTTATGAAGCAAAAAGATATCACAGCCTTATATAGGTCATTATACTCAAAAAGGGACAAGTTTAGGAAAGTGTACAAACATTTAAAAAAAACAGTGAATGGGGTCAAACGGGGTAAAAGATGTTAAAAAGGCAAACTAATGACTATTAAAACGCACTTAGTACTCAAAATAAATTAATTAATAACACAAATAGAGATTAACGAGTGTAATCTTAAGGCCATTGCACAGATATGATTGCAAGGAGATCAAAGCTGGGGTCTATGACTTCAACAGGACGGGCAAAAAGGAAAGGGCAGTGGGATAGTTTTGTTAATAAGGGATAGAATAAATATGATAGCTGGAAATTATCTTTGATTGCAAGATACAGAATTCATTGAGATGAATCTAAGAAATAAACAGGGGAAGATGACACTGGTGGGAATAATCTATAGGCACCTTAAGAGTGGCTATACAATAGGACAAAGATTAAATCAGGAAATAACAAGGGCATGTAAAAAGTGTGGTAGATTAATCATGGGAGACTTTAATTTTTGTGTTGTTTGGGAGTAGTCAGGTTGGCAGAGGTAGCCATGAGGATGAATTCTTCGTGTTTTCAGGACAATTTCCAAGAACAATATATTGAGTATGCAACGAAGGATCAGGCTATTTTGGATCAGATAATACATAATGAGGCAGTGTTAATAAACTGCATCAGAGTAAAAAGTACCCCAGGGAAAAAAGAACCCATAACATGGCAAGATTTAGCATACTGTTTGAGAGTTTAAAAGAAACATCTGTCCTACATTTGAGGGTAATTACAATGGAATGAGTGTGGAGGTGGCTTGAGAAAAAATAGTTGATTACCAGCGGCAGATATTTAAGAAAATGGTTCATCGTATAGCAAACATATATCCCTGTTTGGAAGGATTCTAGGAAGGGGACAGACTGACTGTGGTTAATCAAGTAAGTTAAGGATAGTTTGAAATAGAAAGAAAACAAACATACATAATAGCGAAGATTAGTGGGAAACTACAACATGGGAAAAGTTTTAAAAGACAACAAAAGCTGACAAAAAAAGGTAGCAAATAAACTGAGGGTAAACTAGTAAGTAATATAAAAACAGGCTTCTTTGAATATAGAAGAGACAAAGAACTAGATAAATAATAACGAGGAACCAGGAAATGGCACAGGAGTTGATTATATATGATACATCAGTCTTTACATTGGATGACAAAAAAGCATTTCAAAAATTCTAAACAATTGGAGGCAGCGGGATGGGGAAGAGAAAAAGAGAAAGAGAGAGAGCGTATAAGTAGACATAACTAACACTAGAGAAAAATACTAGGCAAACTAATGAGGATAAAAGCTAATACATGCTTTGGACCTGATGTGATGCATTCTAGGAAACTAAAGGAAATGACTATTGAAATCTTCCAAGAATCTTCTGATTTTGGCAAAGTCCCAGAGGACTGGAAAATTGCTAACACAATGCCCTTATTCAATAAGGGTGGACATAAAAAGAATAGCTACCTACAGGCCAGATAGCTTTACATCTGGAAGATATCGGAGTCTTCTGAAATACATAATATAATCAAGCAGAGTCAGTATGGCCTTGTAAAGAGGAAATCATGCCTGACAATTTAATTACAATTGTTTGAAAAGGTAACAAGCATGATTCATAAAGGGGAACCAGTACATGTAATATATTTGGATGTCCAAAAGTTATTAAGTAAGGTACCATACATAAGGCGACTTAATAAGAGCCCATGGTGTATATTAGCGTGGATGGAGGATAAGCTAACTAATACAAGATGGAAAGTTGAGATAAAGGGGGAACCTGTAACTAGTGGTGTGCCACAGGGATCAGTGTTCTGGCCACAATTATTTACAATATATATTCATGACTTGGATAAGGAAAGTGAATGTACTATAGCCTAATTTCTGGATGACACAAAAATTGGTGGGAAAGCAAGTGGTGAAGATGACACAAGAAGTCTGAAGAGGGCAATAGACAGGTTAAGTAAGCAGGCACAAACTTGGTAGATGGAATATAATGTGGAAATTGTATAATTATGTATTTTGAGAAGATGAAGAGTGGACCTGAATATTGTTTGAATAGAGAAAAATGCTACAGCACAGAGATATTTGGGGATCCTTATTCATGAATCACAATAAGCCTGCATACAAATTCAGTGCGTAATAAGGAAAGTAAATTGAATATTGGCGTTTATTTCAAAATGGAATGGAGCAGTAAAAAATAGAGAAGTCTTGCTGAAAAAAATGCAAGGCACTAACTCGTCAGATCACATCTAGAATATTGTGTTCAGTTTTGGTCCCTTATCTAAGGAAAAATATACTGGCATTGGTAGGCGGTCCAGAGAAAGTTCACTAGATTAATCCTGGATTTGGCGAGATTTTCTTATGAGGAGAGGTTGAGTAGGTTTGGACAAAAACAGAAATTGCTGGAGAAACTCAGCATGTCTGGCAACATCTGTGCAGAGAAAGCAAACATAATGATTTGAGTCCAGTGGTCCTTCTTCAGAACTTCTCCATAGATTCTGCCAGACCTGCACTTAAGACAAGAATGAGGAGCAATTACTTCTGTCAGAGGTAGTGAATCTGTGGAATTCTTTATTGCAGAGGCCTGTCAACACTGCATTGTTAAGAATATTAAAGGCTGAGATAGACAGATATCTAATCAGTAAGGAAGTCAAGGGTGTGGGTAAAAGATAACAATGTTGAGTTGAGGATTAAAAGATCAACCACGATCTCACTGAATGGCAGAGCAAACAAAATGGGCTGAACGGCCTACTTTTACTCCTACAATTTATAGTCTTCTGGAGTGGTGGTCAGATTAACAGGATGCTACCATTAAACCACAGAAATGTATCACACAAATAAGTATTGTCACATATAAATTTCAGTGACAGCAAGATTCTAGGTATGTTGGCCATTTGTCTCAAAGTCAAGTAGATTGAATCAAACAGGATATCCCTTCAGCTGTTCACAGCAAGTAAGGTACTAACCACATCCAACTAACCCACACTTGCAAATTTACAACACAGTATATAGGATTAGATGTAATTGTAAAATTGGAGGGCATTTGCTCGATAATTCCAAGTCTGCAGCCTCGCCCCAGGCACGTGCTTCCATTAGCATGCTGAGTTTTCAAATGCTTGGTTAAAGAGATGTTTTGTTGGTGGTAGGCAAAGGTAAATCGCAAATTGTTGTACGTATAACGTTCGATACTTGCTATCGATAATTCTAAATAAAGAGTCGATAACTCAAAACTTAAGTATTGGCCATGCTAAATCTTCCATAGTGTTTAGTGGTGTGTTATAGGGGGATGGGTCTGGGTGGGACGCTCTGAGAGTCGGTGTGGACTTGTTGGGCTGAAGTGTTTCCACATTGTAGAGATTCTATGAAAAAAAATTATGCTGAAAACCAATTAAGGATTGCCTGTCAGATTTATGGTGTGGTGCACTTCATTTGTCACAGCAATGCATTGACCATTCAGAGTCAATTTACCTTAAAATTTAAATAAAGCTTGATTATTAACTACCAGTCATCATCAGATGATACAGTCTTCATGACAACACCTCCATCACACCAGAGTCTGTCTGCCCATCAATCTGCACTCTTCTTATTCAGTCATTATGTTACTTCACTTTACTTCGATCCTTCTTCCAAACTGCCTTGACAAGTGCAAGGCAAAAGTTTCAACCACAATCTTTTTTTAAGCAATATAACCAAATGATAATTTATTATATGAGTGATGGTCAACGAATAAACAAACATAGTCTAGGATACGAGGAAAACTTTCTTTTTCTTCATGTACCACCATGGGATCATTTCTGTACGTAAAAGATGCACAGGGTCTTGTTGTAATGTCTCATCTGGACAACATCAACTCTAACAATGCATGTTGCACAGCCTAGATCTATGGTGGAGGCAATGGCCTAATGGTATTATCACTGGACTGTTAATCCTGGGAACCAGATAATGTTCTGGGATTTGAATCCCACCATAGCAGATAGTGGAATTTGAAATCAATAAAATTCAAAATTCACTACAATTCATTAATGTCCTTTAGGTAAGGAAACTACCATCCCTACTTGGTCCGGACACATGAATGCAAACCCACAGCAATCTGGTTTGACTCGTAACTGCCCTGTGGGCAATTAGGGAGGACAATAAATGCTGCCTAGCCAGCAGCGCCCTCAACCCATGAAAGAATAAAGGAGATCTTGCACCAAATCTGTGCAGTGGAACTTGAACCCAGAAAGATCTGATTAGGAACCAAAATATATCATCAACAGAAACATGGCCAACAGTAAGATTTTTAATGGAGAAAATCAACTTGCTGTGTTTTTTCAAAATCAACTGCAGCTTTTGGATACACTGAATTACTTTACTTACCTTTTTGAAATCATTAGTTAATTGCGTTTGGAGAACTCTCAGTTGATTGTATTCCTCATGTAGTTTCCTTTGCAGCACCTGTAGATTTTTTTGCAGTGCTAAAAACAACAAAGTTACAGGTCAGAGATAGTAGGAACTGCAGATGCTGGAGAATCTGAGATAACAAGGTGTAGAGCTGGATGAACACAGCAGGCCAAGCAGCATCAGAGAAGCAGGAAAGCTGACGTTTCGGGCCT